ACTGGATTCGGCTTGAGTTAATTCAGGGCTTGCTCAGAGTTTAGAAATCTGGATTTTATAAACAAAGGAATTCACAAGAAGTAACTAAAGCATACTGTTTGTAAACATGGATACACATTCACTGACAAGTCAAGAGGCAGCAAGACACAGTGATTAAGGGCCTGGGCTATGACACCAGAGTGGGCACATTTACTTATCACAGTGTTTCCATTGCCTCGATTTACACAGGGACTAGTAACAGCACCTACTTTATGGGGTGGTTGTGAGAGGCTAACAAATAAGTAAATCATTTAGAATAATGCCTAGCATAGAAGAAGCTCTTAATAAACGTGTGTACACATAAATATGTACACACACACACACACACAAATAACATTTGTCTCGTTTTGAATATCTTGTAGTGATCAACAGCGTGGGCTTTGGCATACGATGCTCTAGTTGTAGGAAGCTGGCAAGGTAAGACCCCCTGAGTCTACTCACTCATCTAGGAAACGGAGGGAATGAAAGCCATCTCCCAGATACAAAGCATTTCCTTCCTTCATTCAATATTTATTGAACACAGACCGCCCCAGGTATTTTGCCAGGCACAGAGGACAAAACAAAGAACAACACAGAGATTGTCCCTTCTGCTCTGAGATTTGAAGTATAGCGTCGGCTACATGCTGAGCACTTAGTGCCTGGGAGGAGCCCTGCCCTCCCCTGCTCAGCAGCCGGGTCTCCAACCACTTTCTGTGTCTGGTTAGATGATTTGCTAGACTTGCATTTTGGCTCACTATCGACTCTGTCCTTCTCTTCACCCTGGATGCTGTTGTCATCTTGAGGAACATCCACACCGGGAAACAGAGGCCCCGCTTCCTATTTCTGCCACCCAGCACCTCGACCTTGGGGTTACCTGGAGCCAACCACACCTGAAACTTTAAACCCTCTTAATACCCAACTCTCTGACCACATCTTCCCCTTCAGGGAGGTCTTCATGTTTTCTCCTCCCCCGGTTTACTTTCCAAGCCAGACTGTCTGATCTATCACTTACACCTAGGGTGACCATAGAATTGATCCACACTGGGACACGTCTGAGGCTGTAAAGGGAACTAAACATAATTAACAGGCATCATCAGAACCGGCTAAGAAAGCCAGGATGCACTTCCCTGAGTTGCCTACAATCTGAAGGGTCTTGCCTTTCTCTCTTCCTTTCAGCATTGACACTCGGCCAAACCTGTGGTGTATTTCCGATCAATCTCCAGTGACCTAAATGGGCAGATCTGTGTGTCACCTGACATGCTACATGTCCCTCATCAGCCCCACCCTGTCTCCCTCTTCATCCAACAGTTCCTTTGAAACTTCACGACTTGTGGTTTTCAGCTCTTACTTTTTCCTCTCCTGGACTCCTTTGTGGCAGCTGGTGGCTACCACTGATGGGGGCAGGACCGACACGCCGGGGCACTGCCCTCCTCAGTCAGGGGCGGGCGGAGGATCCTTCCCCGACCCCTGCTGCAGGCTGGGGGGGGGGGGGGGGGGAGCATGTGACTCAAACCAGGTGACCAGTGTCCTTCCCAGGTCCTCCTGCCAGGGCTATGCTCTTGCTCATGCTGGGATTACCACCCTCCTTTGGGCCTAAATATCGCAGATTCCTCTTCTATAACTCAGCCCACACAATCATCAGTCCAGGAAGCTTTAACCCTCCCTGACACGTCCTCCATCCTGCTCACCAGTTTTCTGTAACCATCTGCTTACCTGTCCCTCTCTTCCAGCAGATTCAGGGCTGGGGTACTTGCTCTGTTTTTCCATAACAAATACTCAATACACAGTTGATCACGTTCTACCAAGGGTGTGATGGGCAGGAGACCCCCTTCCGAACTTTGCCTCCCCTTTGGGTGGGTTGTTCTAGCCCAGGCTGACTCCGTTTCCCTCACACAACGTTGTTGGGCTTCACCGTTTCTCTGTTCTCGGGGCCGCGCCTCCCTGGCCGGCTGCGGGCCACAGGCAGGTCTCAGCTCAGCTGGTCGTCTAAGAACCGCTTTCTGGCTGCTCCATCACTGCACTCGGAGCCTGGCTAGTCGCTCTGGTCACGGTGGCCACCATGTATCTCTGGCCTCACTGGCCGGGTCTGATCTGCACACGGTCCCACTCTTGACCTGCCTCTGAGGCTCTGAGGGGGCAGGGCCCAGTTTCCCGCCAGAACCACTCCTGCCCGCACGGCCACCTCAGAAACAAACCAACCCTCTCTGAGGAGGCTTTTCTGCTCCACACTTGACAGTCTTCCCCTTTGATAGATGACTGGACAGCAATCAAAGACAATTTAAGTTCTGGTCCCAAGCCTCCCAGTACTTTTCACCTTTCTTACCCTTAGAGGTGCGTTGCATAACCTCTTTAATGCTAGACCCACATCTTGTTCATCTTTGTCCTACCTCCTGCCCCTGGCATTGCACTCGATGTTTATTTCAGAACCTCAGTAGATGTTCACGGGGACAAAGCGAAAAGGTCACGGTACACATTCTACAAACTCTCAAAAGCCGTCACTGCGTTATTCAGAAGCTGAGTGGCACATTTGTTTTCTGAGTAGACCTAACCTACAACTCTTGTGACTTCTCTCCAGGGACAATGACAAGTCTCCATCTGAAGTGTGAAGTGCTCAGTCCTCACACGACCCCCAGCATGTGGGGAGACCAGTGCGTCATGCTCCTGAGCTATCCTAAGTGGTTGGGTCCGAAATAAAGTGGGCTTCGTTCCCTAGTATCCCCAATGAGTACAGTGATTAACGTGGACTCCATCCTGAGTGTCCCAGCTAAACCCATACTTAATTCTTAAAGGACATTTATGGAAGAGCAAGACCAAGAAGCAGAGGGCTCTGGGTTGAACAAAGAGAGAGGTCTCTTCTCTGCTTGCCTTCTCTTCTCCATGTTCTCCTGGTTTTCTTCCTACCTCACTGGTCAGCTTTCTCAGGCTCCTTTGCTGGCTGCCCCAGAGCTCCATCTCAAGCTCCCTTTCTTCTCTGCCTACAGTCTCCTTGGTAGCCTCGGACTTACGGTTTCAAAACTACATGCCACAATTCCCAAATTTTAGGTTCAGCTCTGATCTCTCCCAATCTCCAGACTCCTTTATTCCAGTGGCTAATTGACCTCATCACAGGGAGATGTAATGAGTGTCTCCAGCAGACCCGGAACTTAAGCACCACGAACTGTAGGTGAAACGGAAGTAGGATTTAAGGTCTCTGAGACCAAACACTGCTGTCATATTTACGCCTGCATCCCCAGGACCTTGGATACTGCCTGGTGCTCAAGAAATATTTGTTAAATGAAAGAAGATTTCTTAACTGTAGGACCTCTTAGAACTTTTTATATGATACTGGGCAATAGAATCTCCCGAGAATAACATTATCTAAAATCATTTGACAGCTTTCTCAAGGTGCACCTCAAGAGACCAGTGTCCTGACTGAGAACACACTCTCAGAAGGCTCAGCTGGGTGGGGGCATCTTTCCCTCTCTGTACAGGTGGGTCAAAATTCGATGATCTCACCCACCAGCAGTTCTTTCCATCTTGATGGTATCACAATCCTACAAAACGGCTTGAGGATAAAACCGTGTGAGAGGCTCTCCTAAGTCATATACAGAACACAGAGGGCACCTCGTCTGGTAGGGTGCTGGTGGTTTTCATTGGCAGATGAAAGTTCAGTTTAGGTTTACAGCATTTAATGATGATATTGTCATTGTGATGAGTTAGTTGAAAGACAAAGATAAGAATTATATCACAATATGCGGTGCAATACATAAATACTAATTAAATCATCATTACACCGGCATCACTGCAGAAATGCTTTTTGGTTAGCTGATCAGGGGAAACAGGAAGTTTTAAGCTGATAGAAAAATGTAACTGTATTGTTTGCAGAGAGTGGAGTGCTAAGATGCTAGCTTTTCTGAGACTAGGAAGACTGATAGAGAAGAATCTGGGGCCGCAAAGGAGGTTCTCATACCAACCCATCCACGGACGCTAAGAAACTAAAATATCAATAAAGACAACAGAACTTCTAGATTCCAAACAGCAGACACTGGCCCAGCACTGAACAGTCCAAATGAGCAGCCAGTGAAATCCATGCCTGTCTGGTGAACTCAGGCACTCAGCACACATTGAACTGAACTCTTCAGGGACAGTGAATCCCCAGCACATGAGTAACCCCTAGGTTCAACGGAGGTGACCTAGAACAGGGAAAACTTGCATATTTTACAATCCACCAAATGTTTCCATTTAACCTTCGACACATCTGCTGAGCTATTTCTCAAGGACAGTGTGGCAAAGCTGGGCCCTCTCATTTCAGGGATGGTTCCTCCAGTAAGTCTGCCAGTCTGAGAGTCGGTGAGCCCCGTGTGTAGGCGGGGAGGTTGGTGGGG